AGTCCCACAAGTGCACAAGGCTCGGAACTTACTCAACAAAATCAATTTTGATACCATAAAATTTCCAATTAAAATCTAACTTGCAAGAGTATGGTATATATATCTAGAATCTATGTCAAATCTCAAGTGGCTAGCCTTCTACCACGTCACTCCCCTTGATTTCCATGTCTTAGGTCACACTACCTGAAATGGTGGATGAGAAAAAACGAGGTGAGATAACTCAGTAAATAAAATATGGATAGCCCGTAATTAAACTCATAGCATACCAGCAAGTGTAATCAGAAAAACGGATACAATACGAGAATGAAATAGATGTCTTCTCTATAGGTCATGACCAATGTTATAAACCTCCCACTGGCAGGTTACAGAATTTGCTGGTGTATAACCCCCACTAGCAGGGTCACTCGAACGAACCAGTTCTATCAATAACATGTCGACATGTGCTAGCGTTTATACCTCCCCCACTAGCAGGGTCACTAATAACATGACCACATCGGAAACAAAACAGGTAGAAGTTACCAGAAAAATCATAATTCACCAATCACTTTCAAATCATCAGGGCAATCAATTAAATTTCAAGTAAGCATGCTTAATTTAATGAAAAGCATAAAAATTTCACTTCAAATCAGTCATGCTCGTGTAAAACGGGTTTAGTCCACCCACCATTTCAAAACCATCAAAATTTGCTTTTAAAAGCTTTACCTTAAATCCAGGACATTACCATAAGTTACTTACCTCACTTCGCATAAAACAAGAAACTCGACCCCAGAGCTCTAATCCACAACAACACCTAATATTCCAAATAAACATGTTCAGACCTCACTAGAATATTAACACAACATCGCAATATATGTCAATCTCTCATGACCGAACACCTCTAATTTTATTCTCATATAAAACTAAGCATTTCATCCTCTTTGTTGTTGCCGGCAAAACCCCAAAAATACAATAATCATTTATTTATTTATTCTTTTCTTTTCGAATTTTAGCATTAATTCGGATTGGGTATACATATATATATACCAATTAAATACACACACATTTACATATATTTATAGCTTCCCAAACTCACGGGCAAACAATGGGGAGCATGGCTTTTATTCACTTTCCATCTTTGGCAAAACTGCCACTAACACATGGGATTTTCTACTCCAAATAATTAAAACTCAATGTATGAACAGTGCGCGTGAACAGTAACTGATATTTCCATAATTCAATTACAGCAAACTAAAATACCAGAAAAAGGATATTTCACCAGATTTTCAGAGCAGAACAGACTGAAAAAGAAAGGAAAAACAGTAGCAAAATGCAAAAAAATGCAACAGCAATTTGCAGAATTTCCTGCGTGAACAGTTATATTTTGGCAAAACAGTAGGATTTTCCACACAGAACAGTAGCTAATTTCAAGCCAAAACAAGTTTATTTCTACATGAATTAAGCTAAAAAAACATGTTTAAAATGCAACCAAATTCTTCCATATTTCTGCAGAAATTCGGACAGCACAACAGAGGGTTTTCGGATAACACGGGCAGCAACAAATTGATAAAATTCAACAACACAAGGCAGCAACTAATTAACCATTTTCGGACTTAAAGATGCCATCAACATACCAGTATTTTTCCAGCAGCCAAAACCGGAGCTGGCGGCTATGGAGGCCGACGAAGACTGGAGAAGAAATCATGAAAACTACCACAAAATTGCAAGAAACAAAAGGAATTAGAGTAACCCAAGCCAAATTAAAGCTAAAGAGATGAACTTGATGCTGGTTCTTACCAAAAATCCTGAAGGATTCACACCCAGCAGAACAGCGGACAGACAAAGGGGAAGAAACAGAGCAGATCTGAAATTCCTACTTCAAAGGGAGGGTTCTAGGTCCTAAAATCAGTTCTTTAACAAGAAAAGGAAGGGAAAAATCAAGCTTGTTACCAATTTTCTCAAGAAATAGAAGTCGGTGGCTTGGGAGGGAGCTTGTCGAGCTGCACGAAGAAGAAGAGCAGAGCAGAAACGTGTATGGCTAGGAAGAGAAGGAATAAAAATACCAGCTGATCCTTATCCTAATTTCCTTTCTTTTTAGTCCCTGAACTTTAAAAAGTTTTGCTATTACATTCATTAATGATATTTCTTCACAATTAGGTCCCTAACTCACACTTTAATGCTCTGGAAATTTTAGGGTATTACATTTTATCAATTTCATACAAAAGAAAAATAAACCAAATAAGTATATATATAAAACAAATAATAAAATAAATACATATATAAGAGAAAATTCACCACCAAATTCTTATAATATGAAACCTACAAAAAAAAAAATAGAAGTTAGTAAACAAAATATAAATAATAAAAATATACCAAAATGAAAATCTTTATAAAACATATTATAAATCGAAAACAAAAAGGCGAGTGGAATAGAAAAGATTGGAAAAAAATAGACAAATTAAAAGAAAAAAAAACGTGAAAGAGAGGGGAAGAGTAAAAGAAGTAAGAAAAATCAAAAGAAATATTAAGAAGTGTAGAGAAAGAAGAGAAAAAAGAGAGGGGAAGAGAAAGAAAAAAAGAGAAAGAGTAAAAGGAATAGAGAAAGGAAATGAGAAAGAAGAGGAAAGAATACCCGGAAACAAAGGAGAAGAAAAAGAAAAAGAAAAAGAAGAAGAAGAGAAAATGAGGAAAGGAAAGATAGAAAGCTGGTTATATATATGTTTTATACGGACCGAAACCGGTCCGAATATACCAAAAAAGTGCCACATTACAGCCCAACGGAGAGCTTCAATTTTGTCGAAAATTTAGGCGGAAAATATTTCCAGACCGATATGGGTCCGCAAATTACCAAAAAGTTTAATTCAATACTAAATTTTTGGTGGCAAATTATACGAACCGAAAACGGTCTGTAAATAAATAATTAAGTGCCAATCTTGAAAATTTTAATTTTCGGTGAAATTTTCTAAGAGCAAAACCGGTAAAAAAGCAATTGGTTGTATTTGGACTATTATCGGTCTGTATATATAAGTTAAAACTTTGTTAATGATAAATATGAATTAAATTACTTAAATTACTTATATTTGGACCGTTGTTGGTCTGAATATATTGTAAAGAATCCAAAAACTTCTACTTGTGCACCTTTTTATTCTTTTCATTTAAGGACATCACCATCTTCCCGCGCCTCAAATCTGCTCTTACGAAAACCAATTGTGTAAACATCGACACTATAGTCTCCTGGAACCCCAGAACCATCGATTCCATGCCTGAAATTATCTAACGATGACGCGGGATAGAATCGTTGTAAAAACTCAAATATACAAGTATAAGGTTATCAAATATAAGGTTACGTAATGTTCTTTCAGAGTCACAAACAAGTAAATTTGATTTTTTTGTATAAGGTTATCAACTTTGGCATGCAAACATTTGGAATAACATGGTTGAAAACAAGAGTATAACGAATCGAGGATGAGATAAGGAAAACAATGGAAAAGTTGTAGGTGGGTATATATTGGGACCAAAACTGGTCCGTATATTTATATACGGACCGGGATCGGTCCGTATATATATCCGTCATGGTTTTTTTTAATTATAAAGATAAATTAAATTCAGTGTAAAGATATATACAGACCAGTTTTGGTCAGAATAAAGGCACAGAATGTAGAAGCTTCTAGGCCTTTAAATTTTCAAACTGTTTTTGGTCTGAATATGATGCAAAATATCCAGAACCTTCTACCTGTGCACCTTTTTATTTTTTTCATTTAAGGACATAACCATCTTCCCGTACCCCAAATCTGTTCTTACAAAAACCAATTGCGTAAACATCGACACTACAGTCTCTTGGAATCTCAGAACCTCGGAACCATTGATTCCATGCCTGAAATTATCTAACAATGACACGAGATAGAGTCGTTGTAAAACCTTGAATGTACAAGTATAAGGTTATTAGATATAAGATTACGTAATGTTCTTTCAGAGTCACAAGTAAGTAAATTTGATTTTTTTGTGCAAGGTTATCCACTTCGACATGCAAACATTCGGAATGTTATGGTTGAAAATGAGAGTATAACGAATTGAGGATAAGATAAGGAAAACAATAGAAAAGCTGTAGGTGGGCATATATTGGGATCAAAATTGGTCTGTATATATGTTTGTGTATATTATGGAATATATATACAGATCAATAACGGCCAGTATGTACGAATGAGGGTGTGTTGGGCTACATGTATATACAAATTGATACCGGTCCGTATATGTTAATAGTGACATATACAGACCGATATCGATCCGTATATACTAGTTTGGGCTGAGCTGGCTGGGGAATAAGAGCCAGCTAACGTTGAATGCCTCAAACATTCTATTTTTTGGACTAAGTCAGCTGTAAAAATTTTGCAACTGGCTTAATTGGCCTTGATTTTTTACAGGTTATATTCAAACCAATTTTGGTCTGTATAAAATGGTGAGCCGGTTGGGCAATTAAAGCCGGCTGGTGCTGCACTGTCTCGAACATTTTGTTTTTTTGGACTGAGCCGGCTGTAAAAATTTTGCAGTCGGTTTAACTCCTCTTGATTTTTTACTATTATATACGGACCGTTATCGGTCTATATAGAGTGGTGAGCCAGCTAGGGAATCAAAGCCGGTTGGTACTGGACTGCTTTGAACATTCTGTTTTTTTTACTGAGCCAGTCGTGGGTATTTTGCAACCGGTTTTGCTTACCTTGATATATATAGACCAGCATCGGTTTGTATATGCTTGTTTCCACCACTAGTCGATCAGCCATTTGTGTGTTTATTACGGTTGTTATCCTAATTGAAACCGATCTATGTATGATTATTTCATTTAGTTCGATATTTCTTACATATAAAGTATTTAATTGATATTTAAATTAATATATTTGATATTATAAAATTATTTTGATATAATTTATGATATATATCATATAAATGCTAGAAAATTTTGTTAATTTACTCTAAATATATAAGTTTCCAATGTTTACTACAAATATAAAGTAAATACAAATATTTAATTTAAATATAAAAAACCTAAATATCTCGGGGTGTCTTAGGGGTGACTGTCCCACTAGTATCCGTTGGGGTCATCCTTAAATGCTGGTGAAGTTGCTGTATCTGTGCAGCAAGGGTTATCTGTTGCTGCCTTAGGCTCTCATTATCTACCATAAGGGTCATCTGTGATTGTCGAAGGCTATTATTATCAGCCTTCAATGCTTCAATAGTTTGCTTTAATTTGATAACCCTATTAGACTGTCCTATAATGGGTGGTCTGAATGGTTCCCATCTAGATGTGCTCACACCTATATCCTGTGGATGTGTGAATATCCAAACCTTTCAGCCATTCTTTCTTGACCCCACCATTTGCCCTAAGTAATAACTCACCATGAGCTATTGTAGGGTCTAATCCTTCTTCCTCTTGCCTAGCAGCATATTCAACTGTCAATTTTTCTTGAAATAATATAAGACAAAATAAATAATTAATTATATTGAAAATTAAAGTGTAATTTAAAATATCACTTTAGGCACCTAAATTGAATTTACTCTTCCCTAAAAGGATGGAGTTCTAACTTTTTACCAATAACGATATTGTACAAGAATTTCAATATTATAACCAAAATAATTTCAATTAATTCATGAAACAATTTAAAGTAAAATTATTAAGTTAAATACCTACTGCAATTTTTTGAGCCTCATCATTACAATATACAGGTAGTTGATCTTTTCCTTTTCCTTTGTGCTGCCTTCTACTGGTGTAGACCTCA